CTCTTTAGCTCTTGGTATGCAATCCGAGACAGCTACACCTTAGCAGAAAACAGTAAGATACAAAGCCTCTGTTGGGAACCTGGAGTTTCCTTGTCAAATGAGATACCTCTTGCTACAGTCTCTTAATAGAAACAGTTTGCCACAGGGTGGATGCTACCAGAAGTTATCAGAAGCGCAGGAACTGAGCTTGTAAAAAACACATCAAGTCTAACCACTGACGTCCGTCAGGAAAGGTGGAAGGCAACCGTGGTTATTGAAGGAACAGGGAAGGTGGTTTCAAAATTCTGCAGATTTAACAGAAGCTAACAGTTAGTAAGATGGACTCTCAATGGGACTCTTTCTTGTAACCATGAGAAGACAGAGGGAAATGAAGGAGGGTCATGGCTGCACTGGCCTTCACACCCTCACATGACTGCATGAGGTGATCAAGACGCTTTTTCACTGCAACATACTTGGCTACTCCGCTATTTCCTGGGCTTATGCAGACACACTGAGTCATTCCTGAAGAAGCAGGAGAGTGTTTCTCCATCAGATTCTTCCACTGGTTATTTTAAATACAGTATTCATAAACTCCAGCACTAGTTAAAAAATTAATTTACCGCCCTTTACACCTAAAACTGCATGCACCTTGATCCAAGCGCTGGGAAATGCTCCTGAGCCTTGAAGTCTAGACACAGCTGGAATGACTGGCACCACATCTGAGACATATTATTTATACTAAAAATGGTGAAAGACATCTGGAATAATGCACGAAATGAATTAGCTGCATTGGCCAGCCATTGTGTTCTTTGTGAGCCATGTTCCCCTGGACTGTGGTCAAGACTGTGCAGAGTTTTGAGTTTTGCCATAGCCTCAGCTATCTCTGTACCGATCTCACAACAAGTCCTGCTGACATGAGTGCCACGGTGTCCGTTGCGCCCATGGGCCGGGCAAGGAACCAGCGAAGCCCCAGTAAGCTCCAGAACAATGCACCACCCAAGGGCAGGAAAGCTCTGAAACAAAGGAGAGGAGGAGGAGGAGGAGGGTAGAAGTGGAATTTGTGCTAGTTCCACTGTTGATATCATCCAAGTTGCACAGAAGCGCACTTCTGCACTGCTGTCGTGGAGCAAGTCTTGCGATGAGAAGAAAGGAAAACTGATAAGGGATGCATTTTGTTTTGCAGTGCTGCAAAACATACAGGTCTGCAGCTACAATGCTTCTGCTGTTCTTACTTATCCAACTCTACCAAAAAGGATCAAGTCCAGAAACAGTTTAACCAGGTACTGACCCAGCTACGGAAAAAAATAAACGCCCAAACAGGAACAGGTACTGCTTTTCTAAGAAAGAGATCTTGCCAAGACCAAATGTTACAGTGAAGAGATTCAGGCAAAGATGATATGGATGTGGCCAAAATTAACTGAGAGTGGAGGCAAAGAGAGGAGAGACGGAGAAAGAATTTTGTTGGGCTGAATGGCAGGGGAGTTTCAGAAATCTGCCATTGATTACAGATGCATTACTGTCAGGTGCAAGGCTTATGTGAGTTTAGATTTATACCTCAGTTGTGATATCCAGTGGGTGACTCAGTTAATGATATCTCCTTTGTCCTGTGTTTCTCTAGATCAAGCAGTGCAGACAATTATGAATAATGATAATGATTTGGGTCTCAGAGCAAATTTGCACAGATAAGCACACCCCTATGGGTGATGCGGCTTCACGCACAATAATTAAGCACATACGCCATGGGAAGTGAAACAGAAAATGGGTAAAATCATTCTTTTACAAGAAGATTTTTTTTTTTTTTTTAGATTTTGGACCAGAAAAGTTGTACTGTGTGCCTATCGCAGGTAGCTGGCAGATAGATTTTAGAGTTCATAGACCTGAGTAAACAGAGGGTTGGCCTAAACAAGAGCAGAAGGTGGCGCAGAAATAAACACAAAAGCTACCTCTGAGCATGCTGACACGTCACGGAGCAGAGCGGTGGCAGGCAGAGACACCAGTGTCACTCCTGAAACCTCCCAAGCTGTGTCAGGACATTGCTGTACCTGGCTCCCAGACACCCGGCAGAGCCACCCCACACCTGGGCCAGGACCACCCAGCCCAAATCAGCTCAGCTTCTTCTGACCAGCAGCTCACCATATGCTGTAGATGGGCCTTGGCAAATCTGCTCAACGTCTTTAGATGCACTGCTCTAAATTGACATCAGTGTGGTTCTTGCTCATAATTGAGAGTAGAAGTTGGTCCACTGAATTGTAGGAGGTAGATGCACGGTCCCACGGGGATCTATTCAAATTTCTTTTCTAAGGACAGGGCTTCACAACATAACAAGGTTACTTCAAAGAACTTGCTTTTGTGAAAACGCCACTTACGTTTTGCTTCTAGGATCAACATGGCAAGTAAGACTTTCTCACACCCTCTGGCAGCTTCCAGAGGAAAAGTTCAGAGGCTTATCATTTCATCAGTTGCAATCAGTTCAAAGGAGAATTTTGATATTTAATGGTTTTAAGGCATTTCAGTGGGCTGCTTATGAGGGAGCAGCAGCTGACATCAGAGAACAGGCCTCTTCTACATCTCCAAACAGAGCTTCAAGATCTTTCCAGGCAGTATCTCCCATCTTTGGAAAAAGCCAACATAGTTAGAATTTCTCTGTTAGCTTTGAGTCTCATTACAGACTCCCTGTACAGGTAATAGTTAATACACACAGAGAGGGGCACTTCCAGGGGGTGATTTGGCTTTTGGTGGCCTGAGTAGCTTTACTGTCAGTGCCAAGATCTTCAAGTTCATCAGTTCATTCTCTCCTAAGACCTTCTGGGCATGATTCAGCTTCAGATTAAGGCACGTCCACTTGGATATCTGCATTCAAGTGTCTAAATGTCCATTACATCCACAAAAATCTTGTTAGATTAGGAATCCGAGGGCTGGATTCACCTTTGCATCCAATTAGACCAAACCTCTGTCTACGGCCCAGTTCTTCACATGCCTTCGAGCTCACCAGCAGTCCTTGCAGATTTTTAACCACAAAGCTTCTCAAGGCGGCTTGCACCACTTGCTCAGCAGCTGCCTTAATCTGCCGTGCCCATTATCAGGGGTGAGCAGCTCTTTCTTAGCATTACTGAGCCTAAGCAGACCACAATGTGCACTGCAGCGGACAGTAGCATCACGTCAGTCCCAAACCTGCTGTGGTCTAACAGCCTGGCTTGCTCTAGCCATGGGAAGATGTCCCCAAAAGGCAATGTTCTCAGTCACTTGCTGTTACATGCTAGAGTGGCTGCTGGAGAAGCATTAGTGCACGTGCTGGCCCTATGGTACCAGCCACCTGCTCAGTTTTAATGGAACTTCTTCAGCCTACATTACAATTTATACGAATGCCAGCCAGTCGTTAATGGACTGACCATTAAAACATCCCTGTGAAAAAGGGAAGAACCACTGTCTCAGCAACACAGACCATAGCACGAGAAGATGGAGCTTTCTGCTTGTTTCTTTAAGAAAAAAATTGTCTCAATTACAGTAACAAACCTATACATTGGCCAAAGACACTTCTCTCTGAGGGGAGAATTTCTCTCCTCCCACTGCCTTGCGCTCATAATCCCCTGGGTTTTGACGCCGCTCTGCACAGAGTCCAGGTTGGCCGACCCTCCTCTTCCTCACAAGCTCTAAGGAGGTATCACACAAAAGCAGGCATGGTGGGACCATTAAATTGATTGCCAAAAGCAGCCCCAACAGGGAAAACACTCCTCCTGGTTTTGGAGTAGGAAGAACAGAGTTCTCCAACTATTTAAGTTCTTTTGTGAAAACTCATCACAGGTGGTCCAAGCCTAAACCCTCCCATCTCCTGTTAACCTAAAGGAGAAGGAGAAGAAGGGTGGCTTCTTGCTAAGGAACGAAGGTGGCCAGGACATGCATCTCAGTCTGCCACAGAAAGGAAAGGAGATGACAGTATGTTTTCTTTTATTTTCAGTGGCACAGCATCAGGCTGCAAGGCAAACTGCCTAACATTTTCTGTAGGAATGCAATAGCTAACCTTTCGTCTTAGATCCCATGGGTATTTTGAAAGACTCTTCCTAGAAAGAAGTCACACATGTCTACTGAATAAAATCAAGGAAAATATAACTGGATCCCTTCACTTTTCTAGGAATCGTGTTTCTTCAGTGTCTCAGAGATGGCTTTGAATGTTTTTTGGTAAAATGAACCTAATTAGCTGCAGATTGAATCCTAGACCGATGACATAAATTACAGAATATGACAAGGAAACTTAAAACACCTTGAAGCAACAAGTATGAGCATTTGACAGGCTGAGGTGAACAAAACATTTTGGATGTCTTAACTCTGCCTGTAAAAGTTAGCAACATCAAACAAAGCAGCGGCTGCAAAGGCCACTAACACCAAGCTGCTCTCCGTCATCACGGCTTAAAGGGAGCTGGATCCTGCACTTAGTAATTCCCAGGGGAAATACCTTATGAAGAGAGGACAGTGCTAAACTGTGCTTCCAGCTTCACTCTCAGTAATGCCGGGAGGAGAATTTGACCTTTGGTAACTCGAATAACACCAAATTAACAGATGGCTTTGGACTTTACTTGAGATTGTTTGCTTATCCCTGTGTCTTGCTTTTCTCTCTGGGACCCAGCAGACACCACCTCTGCACATGCTGAAAGTCGGGGGCAAGTCCCCTGGTCCCGAGAGAGCAGTGGAGCTGCATATCCCTCATCCACAGCCTGCCCCGATGGAGCAGCTGGTTTCACCCTGGATGCAATGCCTTCGTGTTTTAAGAAGCGTTGCTCATGTTTTTGACATTTTACAAAGGTTATTCTGAAATTTCTACTAAAACAATGTGGAAGAGGTGCTTATGGAAAAATACAGCGCTGGCACTCAGAGCCCCATTGCAAAGCACTTTAAATTAAATGAAGCAGTACTGATACAAATTTCTATCAAAACCCCATGATTTATCACAAGCATAACCTTCTCTTCTTTATGTAATTAAAACAGACTCCAAGTAGCACAAACACAGGAGATTAAGCCTGTCTTACCTGGAATAGGTATAATGGGAATACTTTCATTGGGGACCACACGGGGGGAACTGCTGTCTTCCACATAGAAGTGGGCAGTCTGAAAACACTTTCTGTTAAAGGAAAAAGAAAAAAAATAGATTCAGGGTGTGAAAGCTGCCCTCTGACAAGACAGCCAAAAACTTTTGCACATGTTCGGCTTCTCCATTTCTGCTCCATACTTTCAGACATTATAGTTTTAAAACATCAATGCGCGAAAACATATGTGCATTTTCTACAAATAGAATCTTAATTCCAGATTCTGGTGTGCTCTAATTCTGACATCCACCCATCACAAGCGTCTCTGTATGTTACTGCTAAGTACTACTGAATATGATATTATACTCGCAAAAGTTAGAGGTTGCAAAACAGGTTTCAAATACATCATTCAGAAAGAAACTCTGCACACAAGAAACATATCCAGCATACAGTTCAAGCCAAAATCCACCTAAGACACTAGCATTTCCAGGGAAAATATGCTTACTGTAAAAGTTTCTGCTGCGTAGCAGCTGACAGATAGTAATACAGCATCTGTAACTGCTGCATGTCATGATGCTCTGCCACAAAAGTTATCCTTCAAACATTACGGTTTTTTGTTTGTTTGTTTTTGACACTAAAACCATATAACCCTCATCCCATCCTCCTCCTCCAAACTTGTATTACATATGCTGCTACAGAAAAATGCAATAGACATTTAGCTTGGGCCCCAGGACTCATCTCTGAAAAGGCCTATAAAGAATAGGAGAACTTAAATCCACCTGACTTTTTTACCTGTATTTAATGCAAAGCAGAGAGCACAAGCTGGTCATCACAGAAAAGGTACTGAGCAGAATAACATCAAGAGATCCGAGGAGACTCTGCATGGTGATGTTAACTGAGGCAGGGTTTTCCAACACCAGCGTCACTGCTCATTGCTGACTTAATGAGCTGCTTGAGGCTGGAACTGAATATTTAATGAGTCTTGCTTGGTGTGAGCAGCTATTGTGGCAGGAGAAGGGTCTGTGTTCATCTGCCAGGGTGTTTAACAATAGCTTCCCATTGCAGAAGGATCCCCCTCACTGCAGCCCCTGATGAACTGCTCCTCAACACCTGGGCAAAGTTTGCGGGCGGCCTTGCGAGCGGTGCCTTTTGTCAAGCTGCCCGTTCCCCGGCACACAGCGGCTTCCGAGTTTCTGCCTTGCACTCTGCTGCTCTGTCATTCGGGCATTGTGCTCTCCACAGAGAGCCCACTCTGCTGAGCCGGCTTTGCTGACTTTGTCAAAGTAATTTCTGCTCCCTTTGTTTTCAACATCCATACATGCCAGAGCGCAAAAAAGTCACTGAAAATCAAACCGCTCTCTTAGGCAAAACCAGAACCTGAAATAACCACGGCTGCTGGCTTTCTATGCATTTGTACCTTCTACCGCACAGTCACAGTGCTTTATAATGCAACCACATGCTATGGCAGCACGAGTACAACTTAAGACAATACAGAAGCAGGAGAGAGCGGATTTCACAGCATGGAGTAATTGTCTCAGAGCAGCTTTCTATTTTCAGGCACGATGTCTTGCATTGTGCTGAAGTTATTTATTTAGTGAGTGTGCTTTTGTTAAGAAACACCATAAGGTGAATTCACACACAAGGATGCAAGATGTGCAATAGTCTCTGAGCATTTGAAAACACTGGCTGAACTCCCCCCCCCACCCTACTTGCTCCCTGTTCTCATTTTTTTTGGCAGCCTTTATTTTGGACAATGCACACCCTGGGGGCATGCAGCAGAATAAATCAGTCACACATAAAGAAGAAACTATGAATATGAAAAAGGCAAAATGTTCCTGATTTTGATGTATTTGGGGCTCTTT